ATATATATATATATATATATATATATATAAAAGTTGGAGTCTAAACGAAGGCTAAAAAATTTACATTAATAAGCATACGGTTAATTAATTAATAAAGAATAATTAGGTGGGCTAGCGACCAAAAAAATTAGGGTAGATGGTCTTTTTTATTTTATATTTATATATATATATATTTTTTGAGAAATAGGGTAGATGGTTATTGTTGAATACTATATACTATAAAGCTATATATTAAGATGATGACCATAACCTTCGTCACCATTACTTATTATGCCACTACCTCAAATTTAAACCAAACTCCCAAAGATGATATTTCACACATAAATTAAATTAATTTGCTGTTAATCAATTAAAAATAAATAAAAGCTATATCAGTATTAATATATCAATTAAATATGAATGCGCCAAATCAATTTACCCCATTCTCCTCCTGCTTTCAAGATTAGGTTAATGATAGCCCACGTATAGCAACTTTGTTTTTATTACAATATTATATTTTTATTTTTTATTTTTACCATCTAACAAAAATAATATTTTTATATAATCAGGTGGCATTGACCTAGTCAGAATGAGAAAAAAAAAACTCTTTTTTTAAAAAGGAAAAAGGAGGAAAGAATTTAAAGAAAATCTTGTGCTATGATTGTGGAACCGTGGAGAATCTCTCCCACAGTCTCTCTGCTGAATTATGTAGAGGGAGCAATGGAGGGATAACGATGATGATGACTTTTTTTTTCCTTGTGATATTTTTCCCACTATCATTTTCGAACCTGTTTGGAGGAAAAGAAAAGAAAAGAAAAGAAAGTTTGTGGGTTTGTAGATTATTATTCTCTGAAATTACTTTATTGAGATAGATGAGTTTAGTTCGGTTCATCCACATCTTTGTTGGTTGCAACCATTAGAACCATAAAGAAGCTAATAAGATCTATTTTATTTTGTTATTGTTTATTTATTATTATTATTATTTTAATAATTGAAAGATGTGTTTTTTTCGATCTATCCATCTACCCACTACGAAACCAAACCCTAGGCCTAACAAGTAACATCGCAAGGCTTCACTTTTTCTTCGGTACACGTTACATCTCAAGTTTTAATAATTTAGTTTAGAGTTTTTGTTTGGTTTTAATTTTATTTTTGTCTTTGAACATTCATATTGTTCTGCCGTATTTTATTTTATTTTATTTTTAAAGTGTTTATTTTAATCTTTAGATGTTAAAAAATAGATATTTTCGTCCATCATTTAATAAGTAGATGTGATTCTTCAAATATGTGTATTAACGCATTAACGTAGATATGTGTGGTGGAAAAGCTAGAAATTTTCTTAGGAGGGGCAAAATTTTATATAATATATCTTTTAAATTTTAGGAAAGTGAGAAACTAAAGAAAAACTACAAAATTTTAATTATTGAGTATTTTATATGAACTTTTCGAATATATTACCACAAAGTAGGGAGCTTTCCTTCTCTACTCTCTGCCCTTAAGGTGAATAGCAGGCAAGTATTTAGGTAATTGAATTGTATCAATGATTATATAATATATATATTTGAAAAAATCATTAACTAAGAAAGACATGAATATCCATGGATAAAAATAATTACTTTCTAAAAGTATAGAAACGAAGAAAAATACATTTTGAAAGTAGAACAAGTTAAAAAGTTCAACCATCAAAAATGGATTTAAACTCTTTTTTAATTTTTAATATTTATTCTACTTTCATCTTTGAATTTTGAGATTCTATTTTGGTCCCTAAACTTTATAAATAAATAAAAATTCATTTTAAGTTATGGTTGCCAATTTTACATTTATCATTTCAATAGAAATAGATCTTGTTCAAACACTTGACACATCTAACTAATATATGTGGTTCTAAAGTATACTTGTTTATATGTAGACATCTACTCATCAAAATAAATGAACACAAAAGACATGTCATGTTAAGTCTAAATGAATCATTATGGGTTGTCCTACTGATTTAAAACGGTCAAGATAAACTCTAAAGAATTTAGATAATAGAAGAAGAAATGAAGGGGAAGAACAAATATTTTTTTAAAGTTAGGCTCAAGTAAGGATGATTTGTTTTTTATTATTAATTTGCATCTTAATGGTTTTTTTTTTTTGTTAACTTCTGATTAATTTGTGTTTATTGTAGGGTTAAACTAAAAAGACTTCGAATGAATCAAGAGTTAATTTATTATTTTTAATACAAAAATTGAGTAATTTCTAATTTCAAGATAATGTTGTAAAGTTTTGCTGTTTTTAATCGTTTTCAATTTATTACCTTTTTATTTTAAACAGTGAAGGAAACATACTGAGTTCACCCAAATAATGTTTCAAAGAGTAAAATGAGTAAATGACTAGTTTTAAGTATTAGCTAAGAGATTATAAGTTCAATTCTTCGTACTTGTATTAAAAAAGGACGGAGGGAAGAAGGAAGAAGAAGAGGGGCAATTCTACCCCAATTCATCTTAGTTCAAAAGATCATATATATAGAACATACAAATTTCTCCACCCAATTCCTTTGAGAATTTCTAACTCTGTGCTACCTTATTAGCTCTATTCCCTTTGAGATTTTTTCTTTTCTTTGAAATCAACTTAGCTCATAATTACATCATAATTATGTTTCTTTTTTTTTTGTTCATCAGAAAATTAATGATAATTTAAGAAATAAGATGGGGTTAGATGGCAAAATAAATGCGCATGGTCAACTCTGGTATAGTGATTGTATGTACTATACCATGAATGAAAGTGCAACTCTAATATTTTGGTGGTAACCATAAATTAATAAATTTGATTAATTAATTAATATCATTGCGGCTCAGCAATGAATTTAGAATTGAGGTCTAGGAGGCACATAAATAATAATTAATAGGACTACAAAATTTTATATGTTCATATAAATGACATTTAATTTGTTAAAATTACACCAAACAAAATCTTAATAAACTTCTTGAACTAACTTAATATATAAAAACATTCAATTTTATTAAAACCCAAATAAACCACCTTATAATCCAATCTAGTTTGTATGGTTTTGACTGAGTTAGCTAGATCCAAAAAATTACATAATCAAGTTTTTCAAATACTGTCAAATAGCACAAAATCAAATAAGCGTAAAGCCAATTGTTAGGACAATACTAAAGTACTCTAAGGTATCTCCACAATGATATTGTCTCGTACCTATATACTCATATATTTCTTTTATTTAATCAATATGAAACTTTGGTCGCATTTCGAACACCAATGGCTTTACCCACGAAATTTTTTTTGATTTCAACGGTCAGATTGATGGTAAGATCCCAAAAAAAAATGAAATGCATTGCCATTTGGAAATTCAAAAAGTGATAATAATATGATACGACACTTCATTCTATGGTGAAATGATTACTTATACTTCATTTTATTGAATGATATTAGTACTATCATTTGCAAATGTCCAAAAGCTCAAAAGATGCGATCCAAGAGGCTCTTTCTACAAAGCCTCTGCCATTTAGCTGCAACAAGTAAGAAATGGACTTATATAAAACATTTAATTCTTGCATTATCACATATTGTTGATACCGACTGCTAATTCTATATGTCAAACTAGCTTTTTGAAAAATGAAAATTTTGACCGTCGCATTACATTTCATGGTCGTTTGGAAAATAAGATACTTTCAAGTCATGGTGGCGGGAGGTGAGGGAAATTAGTTGACATTTCTAGGAACTTCTTCTATATATAACCTTTTCAGGGAGTAAGCTCAGAGAAAAAACACTTTGAAATTTGATAAAGTTTTTAGGTATGATTTCTTTTAAATCTAAGACAAGCTAAAGGGTAACATGCCCGGCTCAAACAATGAATTTTAGTACACCTCTATCGGCCATTCAACAAAATTCCTTCCCATTTGCACGATTACTTTGGAATCATCACCAACTCTTTTACAATAAGTCTATTCTTTGTAAATATTAGTTTATTCTCTTATTAATTGATGTTGTTTAGTTAGCTGATGTTGTTGTATCAGTTTTGAGTTGGTTAAGTTGAGTTTGTGTATTCTCCCGTTGCAATGGGAGAGGTGTGCTTTTGATCATTAATGAAGAAGTTATAATCTCTTTGTAATTGTTGATGTAGAATTCTGCCAAGCCCCACATATCGGTCACCAACTAATCGGAGTGAGCTGTCGAGATGCGACCTCTGAGATAGTGGACCTGCACAAAGAACAAAAACTTCGACGTCCAAGTTAATATGAGCGTGCGAGCTGTAGTAGACCATTATCAGATCAAAATTGAGTATTTGAAATGTGGGGTGAAGTGTCCCTTCTATAGGCAGGCGGGAAGACAAAGCCGTTGAAGTCGCTCTGATCGGCGGTTACGGTTGTCAGATCCCCTAGGTCGGTGGTTTGACCTGAGGACAGGATCCTCAAGTCGGTGAAGCTTGATTTCCATTTCAACTTGGCGGGTTATCAGGTTGGCGAGTACGTGATGGTCCGATTTATCCCTTCTAGTGACTTCGACTGAGCAGGAATGTACACGTGTCAATACTTATTTTTACCACCAACAATAATCATTTTCATTATATTTGTGTATATCATTTTCTAGTATATCAAATAATCTTCTATTTGACAAGGAATCTCTAGTAGATTAAACTTTAAATTACCCCACCTAATTAATCAGCTTTTTAATTTTAGTGATACAGTAGTTAAGTTATGTTGGAAAGGATTAAAGTTAGGAGTGGTGGGTAAAAAAGGGAGAGGTGGTGGTGGTGGGAGAGACATTAATGGCGAAGGAATTGGAGAAATGGCAACATCTGCGCCAATCAAACCACAAAAATTAAGCCTATTGGGGAATAATAATGGAGGGATACAATAGAAAGGACCTGCACTGTACTTATCTACTTCAATTGATTTGACCCATTTTTACACCACTTCTTTCTTCACTGTTACAAAAGTTAATGATATTTAATCAATTTTAGACTATGAATTGATCTTCATCTTTCAAATATGTGTCCTATAATATAAGCTTCTTGTATTTTTTTTCCTCTTACTAGTTCAATTGATTAAGATGTTAGTAACATTTTTATGGGTCAAAGAGTTGAATCTTCAACTTTTAAATTTGTAATTTTATATTTTTATTTAAAAAAGAGCAATTTAGTTTTATGACAATTTTAAACAAATTTCTATATGATAATATTATTAATTGTTGACTTGAGTCTGGTTCAACTCGTTAAGAGATTAATAATGGTAAGTGGTAGATTCAATTTTATATCCTTTATTTGATTTTGTAGCATTAGTGAAAAATTAAATAAAAGATAGTTGTCCAACATTTAAAAGTATGGTTTTCTATACACAACATTTTTAGTGGTTAAATATCCATCTTACCCTATTTAATAAAAGAATTAGTAGGATTAGTCTAGGTTTTTTAATTTGGTAGGCCACATAAGTTTTCTAGTTATAATGTTAAAAGGAAAATGTTGACTAATAAAAAATAATACTTTTAAATATCACCTTATGATTCGTTTCTTGAAGTTGAATGATTTTGTAGCTTTCATTCGAGGTGGGCACCAATCTAAACACAATTTAAGTGGTTAGATATTTAGATCTCATTATTTTGGATTGTCATTTTGAATTTTCATCCCTGGACTGCAATATAATATTAGAAAAAATGTTGTGAACGAGCGAGTTCAAGGTTTCATCTTTACCATTAAAATTTTGTATAATTCATGTGTTAAAATTAAATAATTAATAGATTTTGTATGGGGCTAAAGATTGTTGTTTTTTTTTCTCCTTTGTTATGCAATTTTGGTGTGGGATGATATTGCATCTTGGAGGCATTATTAGTGATTGGGGAAGGTGCGAGTGATTGGTGTAGTTCACCAACACAGGCAACCAAATAGGCCAAATTTTGGTTCAACAACATTCACATCAGACAAAGTGGTGAGTTATATGTTGTTGTGCATTTTGTACCTTAATTTCGGCTAAAACAACCACAATGTTTTTGTCATATATATGCAATAGGACACTAAAGTCTAAGAAACATTTATAAATAAGAACCAAGGTACAATAATTCAAAATTTTGTATGAAATCTGATTTAAGCTTATATATCCACTGCCCAAAATGAAAGGGGTACGTTCACAAGTATTTTCGAAAAAGAAAGATGATAACATTTTTTTGTCAGTAAAGTCTCGATGATATGATATTATTCCTTTTGAGTCTTAAACTATTATGGTTGAAAATTTTATTCAAAATCTCTTGTACCAATGAGATGTTATCATTACTAATGTATTTAAGAATTTTCCTCGTTATTGATCAATGTGAAAATAATATGTAAAAGTGGAGATTTAAACTTTGAACATTTTAGTCGGACATACATACATATACATATACATATACATATATATATACATACACGTTTTTTGCAGAAAAAAATAGAGTTTTTTGAACTCTAGAAACGTCACAAAAAAATAGAGTTTTTCGAATTTTAGAAACGTCAGGAAAAGTAGAAAAAAGTTGAAGATTTTAAATTCTTAAAAATCATCACAAGTCAATATGAACTTAGCTTAATTAGCACTTGTTTCTAATCAAGAAGTCATGAGTTTGAATTCTCCAATCTCCACTTATTATACTCAAGGAAAAAAAAAACCATCACGAAAGAGTTGAGGCACAGTTTTTTTAACCATGTTATTTCTTTTCCTGTCATGATTTTTATCCATCATTAAATTCTTTTCCGTGACGTTTTTTAACTGTCATGAAATCTATTTTGCATGATGTTTAAATTATCATTAGATCTCTTTTCCTCTTTTCCGGTGACCGTCACGAAAAATCCTTTTCTAACGGACTATACATATAATGAGCTAAAAAACGTCACGAAATCATTCCGGGTCGAAAACCCAAATTTGTACTAGTGTGTATATATGGATGTGCTGGGCTGGCCCATATGGTATTAGAGGAGGCCCAATCCATCAAGAGAATAAATCCTTTTTCCCCTCAAATGAAATATTTGATGGGTGTCATTTTTGTGCTGTAAATGAACACCATATTTACAAGTGTGATCGTAGGCAACAGCACGTGTTGGCCAAGCAATCACCACACCGTCTAAAACCCATGCATTGGAACTGCATAACCCTTTCATCTCCATTAATCCACCCAAATCATATGCGTAGAGAAAACAGAGAGAGAATAATAAATAAATAAAATGTTGAAAAGCTGGTCCCGCCATGGCTACAACAAGGTGGCTAAGTCAAAGTTTGGAGCTTTGGAAGGCCACCCTGCGGCTCAGCAACACGCAGCAGAAGCCATGGAAGCTCATGGAGAAGTGCAGAGAAAGCTCAAATCCCATCAAAAGGAGTTCAAAATATATAGGTGGAATCCTGAGTATCCCAATCGCAAGCCTTTCCTCCAGTCTTTCTTCGTTCAGCTCTCTAATTGTGGCCCCATGGTACGTTCTAAAATGTCTTTGTGATTTTAAACATAGAATAATGGTTATAAATGCTAAAGGAGGAATAAACCACCCTCCAACCCAAACTTTTGATTCATATATTGGATATCTAACCCCTCCAACCCAAAGTTTTGAATAAATTTAATTCATATATTGGATATCTAACTCCTCCTACTAATGGGCTTGGAACATTCCACAAAGATCAACAAATGGAAACAATATTGTTGGGTCAAAGTCCCACCCCACATGTTATGCAAAAAAGAAAAATAATGATGTAGAGATCTGTAATCAAATGGGGGACAGACCCAACATATGTATTTGTACTAGATTCTAATAAACAACATCAAAAGAATTATTTCGGGTAAAAAACATCAATAGAATAAGGGTAAGTAAACGTGAGCTCAATTCATATATTATATATATAACAATAAATTTGTGTTTTCGTTGGAGGTTTTAGATGCATTGCAGAAGATAAAAGCAGAGGAAGACTCGAGCTTGAGCTACAGAAGGTCATGCAGAGAAGGGATATGTGGATCATGTGCGATGAACATTGATGGAGGCAACACAGTGGCCTGCCTCAAACTTATTGATGCTGACACTTCAAAACCCACCATTATAACTCCTCTTCCCCATATGTTTGTCATAAAAGATCTTGTTGTTGATCTCACCAACTTCTACCACCAATACAAGTAATTTACACTCTACCACTTTTCAAACTACCTAATTCTCCATTTTCATCAATCATTCTCTCTCCTTTCTTATATACATGTGTTCAAATCATATAATCTATAAGAATTTGTGAATTCAAATCATAACTTGATCATGATAAAAAATTAAAGCAATCTCTGATCTTGTGGTGTGTATTACTTGAGAAGAATTATGTGACTGAGTTGATGGCATTTCATGTGGGTAAGAGAAATGAGGTAGGTATAGTATTTTCACCTCAGCTTAATTGAACTGATTGGGTTGAGATTTCAATCTCGACCTGGTCGATGATATTGTCTTAACTAGTTGAAAATACTAAAACTTCTACCCCATTCTTTTAGCCCCTCGCCAAATACCTAAACCCTGCCTGAAGTCATCTTTAGAATAATACACTCAAAATGTCATGATCTTGTTTTCATCCAACTAACAAAATTAATGATAATAACTTGTTAAATTGAATGGGTGTAGGTCGATCGAGTCTTAGCTGAAAACGAGAAGGTCGCCGGAAAAATTATGTGATGAGTTAATTTTGAGTTGATTAAGGTGTTTAGCCTTTCATGTGGGTAAAAGAAACAAGATGGCTAGGTATAGTGTTTTCGCCTCAGGTTAATTGATTCGCTATAGTTAAAGAATGGGTCAGGATTTGTTTATGTGTGTTAACCAGTTGAGCAGTTTTAAGATTTTTGTGAGTGGGCAGAAAAGAATACTAAACCTTCGTGACCCCACTCTTTTTAACCTCGGGTCAAATGTCTAAATCTGGCCTAAAGTAATCTTTAAAAGTAATCTTTAAAATAATACACTCAGAGTAATGATCTAGTTTAATTTTCATCAAACTAACAAAATTATTGATAATAACTTGTTAAATTGAATGGGTAGAAATGCTATTAGACTTTGAGGGACATGATCATACCATACTTTGGTAATTAACCTATCTATTTTCTCAAAATTTCCTAATTCAAGTGGTTTGTTAGAAGAAGATGTTTATAACATTATTGATTGAAGGAGCATTATCATCTTTCTCCTTCTCCCCTTAGCTTACATGTGAAGTAATTAATTGTCTAGTTCATCGAGTATAGGTCGATCGAGCCTTGGCTGAAGACGAAAAGGTTGCCTGAAGATGGTCGGGAGTTCAAGCAATCTCCGGTGCAACGGAAGAAGCTAGACGGATTATATGAGTGTATCCTTTGTGCTTGTTGTACTACTTCATGTCCTCCCTATTGGTGGAATCCGGAAGAGTTTCTTGGCCCTGCTGCCTTGCTCCATGCCTATCGATGGATCTCTGATAGGTAAACGTTCTCCCAACCTTTTAAGTTTTAAGGCATTGAAACTATAATATGGTTAAAGATTTGAAAGGAGAAGAAAAACAAAATTTAGTACTAACACGTAGGAGACTCATGACCTTTTAATCGGAAATAAATGTCTTTAACCAATTGAGCTATTCTCTATTCATTTTTATTTAAAGTATAAAGCGTAGATTTGGATATTTTCCCCATATTTAACCATTCTATTTTAAAATTTTCAATTTTATTTCTATGTATTAGTTTTTTTAATCTCTCTCTCTCATTTCGACTAACAATCTCATTTGGAAAAGCCTTTTAATATTTAGTGAAAATAGGGTAGGACCTTTTTTTTTCTTTGTCCCTCTAGATAAAGGTACAATTGAGGGTTTTCAACAAGGTTAGGTAAAAAATATGTTAGGTGGGTCAAAGTAATAATAGACATCACTTTTTCCATTGAATTGTCTTATTTATTTATCTCCACAGCCAAAGCCAAGATTGGTCCAACTTCACTAGCTATAGGATTTTTTTAAAGAATTTTAAAAATAGGTAACAGAGGAGAAGAAGAATTCACCCCCACAAAAATAAAATTTATGTCATACTTTTGGAATTCGAACGTCAACCTTTTAATTGAGAATATATATGTCTTGTTAATCGTGACGGTATTCTGCCTAAATAGGACACAGGTAATTGAGTTATACTTAGGTTAACCAAGTCTGAAATAGTCTAACCAATACTTCAAGATTATTACTAATTCTATATTATATCATAGAAACAGATTATACTTTTATGCAAACTAATATTCAACTAGTGTATAATTAAAAACCATATTCATCTATTTGATACGATCATTTTGTTGACGACATGCCTTGACCAAAACGATTATAGCCGAGACGATTTTGAGGAGGAAAGACTGCAGGCAATAGCAGAAGACAAGACAAAGCTCTATAGATGCAGAACTGTAAAGAATTGCACAGCCAACTGCCCCAAAAGCCTGGATCCTTCCGGTGCTATTCACCAAATGAAGGCTATGCATTTGATCTCAAAGTCAAATAATTAAGGCCCATTTGTTAACTATTTCGGATTTTTTCCTTTTATTTCGGGTTTTTTCCTTTTGTTAATCTTTTCAAAGGGTCTCTCTTGTTGGTCATATTACCACATATTGATCACTCACTCATCTTTAAGAATCCCTCATACCTATGAAAATATTTCCAAAGAGTCTCTTGTTGGTCATGTTACCATATTTTGATCACTCGTGTGTCTTTAAGAATTTCTCATATGGTAGAATTCCTCAATCTTTTCGAAAAAGAGATTATTCTCAAAAATCAGAAACAAGAAATTAGGATAGAAAATATTAGAGACGATTAAAGACAAAGGAAGAAAAGTAGCTTAATATGAAGAGTACTTGCCATAAAATTTATGGTTTGGAACTTAAACTACAAGTAGATAAGCTATACAGAAACAAGTTGGTCCTGTCAAAACCTAAAGAACAAACTTCTGCTGAGAGATTACAGGTCATATCCATTCAGTACTTGAGACTATGAGGCTTCTCTCATTTTTCTTAATTTTAAAACCTGGGTTTTACTTTTACCCTTACAACTTCCTTGAGATCCTGGTGGTTTTCCTTTGCCATAATGGTGGCCCTTTTTAAGATTGACATAAGCTGGCCGGTGCTTGGTTCCGTCGTCTCATTCGATACATGATAATGACTCGTAAATTTTAATTTGGTCCGTTATACTTTACGTCTTTGCCTCAGTGCTTCTTTAATTGCGTCCGAGCATTGGCAAGCGCTTGGTTGATTTCCTCGTCGTCGGGAGTTTCTTTGAGCAAGTTCTCGTAGTCTTGTATTGAAGCTTCCCATCTTCCCAACTGCATGACAAAAAGCTATTATCCACCAACTTTTCTAGCAGAGCAAAAGATAAAAGGAAGAGTAAGATTGTAGGCACCTTGGCATTGCAATCTGCTCGTCTCAGCCTAGCCTTGCCATACGACGGGCGACTGTTGAGGGCTGCCGTGCAGTCTTCAACCGCTTTCTCGAACTGTCCTAGTTTCGACCGGCAAGCAGCTCGATTACATAGCAGTACGGAGTTGTATGGATCATGCTCAAGTCCCTCCCCGTATGCACGACATGCCTCTGAGAATCGGGATGTTTTGAATAGCTCGTTGCCATTTGATCGAGCAGCTGTGACAGCTCGAGCCCGCCTCATCACTGCATTAACATCTCGATTGTTCGAGTCAAGCCGAGCAGCCCGCTGCACTGCCTCCAGTGCATCCTCGAATCTGCAGTCACATGCCACTTTGAGAACCACTATAGCAGCCATAATATACATGTTTTGTTCTCTGAACAAAACTCGTATGTTTTTTTAGACTAAATTGAAACCTTTTACGAAATGGTTCGCACTTAAACATGAACGAACCTGCCTGCAGCCAAGTGAACCTGAGCTCGAATAACTAGTAAATTGGCATTACTAATAGGGCCAAGGAACTTAGTACAGGCATCCACTTCAAATCTTGGACCTCTTGATATGGCTTCATCAGCATCTTGGTGCTTGTGAAGCTTCAACAAGGCCTCAGCTTGCAAAGCAAAGATCTTTTCCAAATGATCCACAACAATCACTCAATTAGTAAAGGAACTGATTTAAATGTCAAAAATGGAGTATGACTAATCTTGTCCAATAATCTAAAAAAAGCACCTGTGGTGCAGAATCTGCTCCAGATGATATTGCAAAGCCAGTCTCCTTGATGAGGGTGTTCCAATCTCGTAATCTTCGCGCTTCGGTGCACTTGGTCAAATGAGTTTGAACAGCCTTGGCTTTCGCTAGGTCGTCCTGATCGGCCTCTGGTCCTGATTGCTTGTAATGATACATTGCCTTCTCTGCCTCTCCTAATCTGTGCTCTCAATTAAACAACAGTGTACATATTTTAGACACTACCGGGCTGAAGAGGTTCCAATATTCACCCTCTCTGTCTCTTAAAATAAGGTGGTGTTGGTGAAGTTAGTACCTAAGATACAACCTCGCAAGTCGATGATGAGCTCGGTGGTATTGAGGTTCGATTCGGATGGCTTCTCTGCACTCAAAAACTGCATCGAGAAGCATACCAAGAGCTGTCAAAGCTGCACTTTTATTGCTTCGATACGATGCCTTCTTCGGGTCGATTGCGATTGCAGCTTCATACAAAGCTAAGGCTTCCGCAAATCTTCCGTTCTTGTAGTCTTCATTCCCCATAATTTTTAACTGCTCCGGATCCATTCGAGTTGACAACGCTCGACAAAGAGAACTCGATTTTTGTTCTACGCTCTGTTTCGTTGGACTCTTGGCTATATTTCCCATTCCACCATTTTGATATTTCCCATTTGTTACTGAACTCTGTTCTCTTGCTGTGTTGGGCACATAATCAACCACATTGTATGCATTTCCTCCTCCACCCCTACCTTGTTGTCTCAAGTTACCTGTAAAAATAGTGACATTTAATCCTTTAACAAATCAAACTCTATACAATAAACTACAAATCACTAACTTTGGAGTAAGAAAAAACAGAACTCAGAGCTTAACAAGACATATTAAATCAGATTAAACTTGATCCCTATTGTTCTAAAAGTTTCAAAAGCACCTTTCTTTATACACGATGAATAAATTCACCTTCAGTATAAGGTCTTTGAAAATATTATATTGGGATGTCAACTAACCCCCTCAGTTTTGAAACTCTAACTTTGTCCGCTTAATGTTAATGTTATTGTTAATCGATCGTCTCTATCTCTACTCCATTTAAAAGGCTAAAAACCAACACGAACGCAGTTAAATGGTTAGGACATCTCTACTTCTTCGAAGAGTAGATTAAATCTCTATCTCGTAATCTTATCAAACCAATGATTAGATTGAAAGTTTTACGACTATAGAGATCAAATCGAAACTTCATGAACGAAAAAAATTGAAATTACCTAAATCTCCAAACAACATGACATTGCTGGAGGAGGCCCTCACAAGCCCATTCGTTCCTTTTGATTTCTGGTGATCGGCGATCATGCACTCGAGCTCGCCGGAGATCCCAACGGCTTCCTTCGGCACCCTTCTTCCTTGGTCCACATACCCATGACTCCCCATGGCCGGCGCCGCGATCTTACACTCTTCATTCCGATTACACATCGCCGCCCCTTTCTGCTGATTCGAATACACCGCTCTCTGTTGATTCGGACCCACCTTGTTCGCCGGTTTATTCTCCGCCGGAACTTGAAGGAACGAGGCCTCGTCGGAGCCGCCCCGCCGCCGCTTCGAATTGATGGCGTTCCCGGTTTTAACGAAATCGGCGTTGTTCGGATTATTCCCCATCGCCAATGAAGCGCTGGAAGCGCTCCTTCTCGGCCAAAACCCGCGCCGCCCAAACACGGCGTTGAGAAGCCCACAGCTCGATCTCTTATCCGACATGTCGTCTTCCATTTCTCAATTCTCCTCCCCAATGGAAAGAATCGCCTCGACAATCAGAAAAACAGAGACTCTCCCATCTGAGATGGGGTATTTGTCTAATTCTTTTTCAGACCCATCATTCGAAATTCTGAAAAATTGAGAATTTTCAGTTGAAAAAACCATGGAGAGGGCCGAACCCCAGGAGTTGATTTGTATTGCTGCGGCCCTGGAGTGGCTTCCTTCGAGCAGAGCCTCTGTTTTCTTGTGTCGGGGAGAATTTTTGTTGGAAAATCGAAAAAATTACAATGGAATCATTAGAAGAAGTTTTAACCGAAAAGGGGTTTTGTGTTTTTGATTTGAAAAGTAATTAAATTTTTTAGATTAGAAATGAATTGGTTTGAAGGGGGAAAATGGTGAGCGGGAGACTCGGTCGCTGTGGGAAATCAGGATCTCAAAATATTTAGAAACAAAAGGTCAGCTCTGCGTCATGGAGGGACTGTGAGGACACCACGTTGGGATGTTCGTTGACCTCTGGTTTCTTTTGTGAGGACAGCTGTGTCATATTTTTATTTTTTCAAACTATGAGAGTCTCAGATCCAACCGTGTTTGGTCTACTATATTTGAATTCACATAGTGTCAAGTTATGAGAGGAGCAATTATTACGGCGTTTCATTGTAGTTTCTATACTTTAAAAAGATTATTAAGATGTCTAGGATGATGTTGGATTTATAATAAATTGAAAACAAAGTCCCACGGACCAAAAATATTTGTGTCAAAATAACATATGCAAAAAAGAACAAAAGGTCTTGGGCATAATGGATCTTGAAGGACTTTTTCCACATCTCCCTGACCACATCCTTCAACATTAGGATTACTTTAGGATTACTTGTTAATGGTTGAACAAGTTTGATAGATTCGCCCTCTGAAACAAGAAGTTCTGGTCCTGGAGGGATAATATCAACCACTTAACGCCATCCGATGCATCCACTATGATTATTTCATATCCTTCTTTTTCTATGAAGGGAAGGATCATGGGCATATAAAATAGGACAATTATCTCAATTAGTATGAGATTTTTTGGATTTCACCACAAACAAAATCGTAAGGGTTATACCTAAAATGAACAATATCTGACATAGCATGGCTCAAGTTGATAATATACTTTAATATTATCCAATATACTTTAATATTATCCAAAGTTCTAGTTAGGATTAGAAATGCTTCCGGTCTCCCCAAAATTTTGATTATTTTGTGAGAATCAAGTTCCCACAAACTTATTTATTATTATATTTTAAATTATTTCTCAATTAAATATTTTTTAGAGAAGAAATTTCTAATTAAATATTTAGTTTTCAATGATAAATCGTTATTTACATGATTGAAGGAAATTTTTTTTTAAAACCATCTAATAAAAACAATATTATAATATTTCATTTTAGTCAAATTATCCCTACATTAGGTATCCAAATGTAAACACGTCACAATAAGGCTACATTACCTCAACTATAAATTTGTAAGAAATATATATATATAGATAGATAGAGGGTGTAGTAGAAATAGAA